GGATTCAGAATCAATGGCATGATGGGAGAAAACAGCTAAAATTTCACACTTTTATCTTTAGGGTTCCCAACATATTGTTGTTCAAACATTGCCTCAAATTCCAAGGTGTGAAAAAAAAAAAACAAGCCAAAAATGAGTTGACTGGCAATTTTTAGTTTTAAATGATCTCTGAGGGTACGAAAATTTCACAGATACCATTTTAAATTTCTGTAGTTTATGATTATTATTTTTTTAAAAGAGAGAGAAGTTTCACAAGTCACTTTAAAAATGTGTTACTTATGCACAAGACTAACTATATTCTCAAATATTGATATTACTCTGACTTTCACATCAGTGTTAGATAGCACATATAGAGTTTAGTTTTACTTTTTAAAAGGTTTGATTAGTGCCAATTAACTTACAACTGACCTAGAAATAAAGTACAACTCTAAATTATTACCACTGATATTTAAATTAATGACATAAAAATAATGTATAGTATAACATTATTCGCTTAACCTTAAGTCAGCTGCCAGTCAGTTAGCCTTTAGGACAGATAACACATCTTTACTGCTGGTTAGCTTTTATGTTGCTGTATTCGATGGTAGTGTTCAGGATTTATAAGAAGTCTAACATTAGCAGGGCTAGAGTTTTGAAAATTATTGATGTTAATTGGGGGAATCTTTATTCAAAGAATTAATTAAAAGCTATTTTTCCTTTTCAAATTGATGCATAACTCTCCACATGCTGTATTGAGAACAGTACAAGAGGTTTGTATATTTTTGTTAAAAAAAACACAGAGGTTTACTTTGTACTGTTCTAATATTACAACAACCTCAACACTATTTATGTTGATTTCATCCCACCAGGAAAATGATTGCAAAGCTATTTAGAGATCAGTGAGCCTCCTATCACTATCATCCAAGAAAAGACCTGAAATAAAAATTGGATATATCTAATGGTACTGTGAGGGGGGCTTCTTGCCTTAGTTTATCTGACCTGTTTTACTCAGATCTGCCCTAATGATCCATTATAGGTCTGCAGTGACACCTGCACTGCTCATTCATGACTAGACTCAACACTTTAATCCAATCACATAGTAGAAAATGAAACTACTGGTCTTCACTTTCTCTCTCAAACAGTGTTGCTCTCATTAGACACATTACCCAGATTTGATGTATGCGTGTTATTGGACTGGCAGCCTCTGTAGTTGATTGTGGCATCATATCAGGGCTGGTGAAGGGGCTCAGTGTTTCTCCCTCTATTGTCATTGCAGCAGGCTGTGGGGTGAAGTAAGGGATTGTGTGATCCAATGAAGCGTGCTGTTATCAGACACTTCAGCCCCAGTCATGAAGCTGACATCATCCCATTGCCTCATTTTAGAGCCACACGATGCAAAGCAGGTCAGTACGGATGAGAGGAAGACCCCCAAACTTCACTGCATAAATTCATTACCCCTAAATGTTTCCTAGGCTTTGATAAGTGATAGGTATCAGAAGAAAAAACACTCTTTCATCTGTAATCAAAATAGTTTTGTTGACGTCATGGTAGACTCAGGACTAGGTCAAATCGGTTTAACTCTTGAAAATCAGGACTTGAGAGGCTCAGGCTTGACTGACTTGGAAGTCAAAGACAAAAAAAATCTTTCTGTTGGGGTTATTATTAGCTCGGTGCACCAAAATGTATGTAAACATTTTCAAATCTTATGCTGTTTTATAGTCACCATGAAAAAAAAAAAGCAAAACATGTCCATCTTTTGCTCTATTTGAATGTTAAATTCAACAGAACTGAACAAATCCTGGCAGGATTGGCATTTTGTATTTGAACATCTTTGGAGAGATGGAAACACTGACAGATACTTACGATTTTAAGAAGCTTAAATATTAGCATTTTGTAGAAACATGTGTTGAATATTTTAGCTGCTTGGGATTTATTCACCAGATAGAAAACAACAGGTTTCTGTCAACCGAGTGTTGTGTTGCTGCCAGCTGCAGTGGGTCTGTGGGAGTTCACACGAAAGAAGATTTGACATTCTCCATATTTCAGTCCAACATCAAAGCTTCCTGTGGTTAAACTCAGATCTCATTCTGAGTGTAGGCCTCACAAGAAAATGATGAAATCACACCTGCATTGTGCTGATCTCTTTGCAAGAAACAAAGCAGAGTTGAAAAAGCAAAATGTTGCCATCTTTACAATGTTGTAATGTGATCTTTACAATGTTCCCTAAAGTGGAACTCTTGCACCCTCTACTGGTGAAAAGATAGAA